CGCATTTGGCGCTTGAAAGGGGCCATAATCCCTGCATCCAAAGGCTGCACGTGGCTTGTCGCATTTGGTGGGATTGCCGCAACAATACACCCAACCTCCTCAGTCGCAATCTTCATGCCTTGCGTACTCACGTGAGGTTCGAAATTGTCCAGCAACAAAACGGATGGTTCACGGACCTGAGGCTTCAGCGACGACGCAAGTACAGGACCAGTCACGTGAGTCCATCTAGGCTTTTCTTGTACAGCGTATTGATATGCCATAGGGAAACCATCCAATTCGCCCGTCTCGATCACGCCACCTTCCTTGCCGCGCAAGATAAACTGGATTGGAAGCTTCTCGCCGCTTGCACGAACTGCCAGGACAGCGGTCATTCGGTAAGAATTCTTCTCACCCGACGCAATCTTCGCGTGCCGCCAAAGATGGCCCAAAAGCCATGTGGTGGCATGTCGTACGTCATCCCGGTTTCGTCAACATTGATGACTGTGTCAGGTTCCAAGCCTTCAAACGCCTTGTGGAAGTCCGCCGCAAACTCAGCCCTTGTTGCTTCTAGGTCAGCTTGGGTCTTCTTGGATTTCGACGCCTTCTGTCTTGTGAAGCCGTGGCGGTGGCAACAGCGTTGAAGAAGCCGAAGGAGGGAGTTGTAGCTGGACTTCCGGGTGGCAAGGTAGCCGTCAAGCCATTGTCGGTGGTTGCGATTCAAGAAGTTGATGAGGTGAGTGCATGTGACAGCTCGTTCGGCGTCACGGAGTGCAGCAGATTCGGGTATCTCCTGTGGGCGGCCAGCACCACTAAAATTGAAACGTTTTAGTGGGCTGTCTTGCAGCAAGAGTTGAGGGGCCTGCCGTATTGCTCTTCGGTATCCCGGTGGCAGCCTCAAGGTCGCGAGCTGACCCGGTATGCATTTGGAACAGCACTGCAAGTTTAACAGCGTGCGTGTAGCGCCGACTTGGCCTTTTTTGTGCACTAATTCTGATGCGGTCCTTCGGTGGCATTTTTCGCACTGACTGAAGTGATTGATGTCGATCCCATTGCGGATGCCGCGAATATAAAGTGTTTTCGCGCCAAAGTTGATTTTGGCCAATGAAATTTGAATAATTGACTCATTTGGTTTGATTGGTTTAAATTGCCCATATGTTAGGAAACTTCAGCTGTCCCTTAAAATCTGTCGTTGACTGTAATCGAAGTGCTGGGGGGTATTGAGATGATGTCGGCTGGAAGTTGCATGAGATGGGATCGACGGGACGCGTGTTGGATGCGATAGCATAATATACATCATGGTAATTGTCGTATATGCCTCGCTGATGCTCATGCACGGTTGTCTGGAGACCAGCTGCATGGCACCAAACAACCAGGGAGGATATAGTGTGAGCAGCGCTCGGTGTTGCGAGGTCGAACGATCAGTCTACTCAAGTCCTGCATTGTTGTAGATGGACATGATAGCTCTCAACTGCATCACGAAAACGAGCCAGCAACAGCGTTGATGGCGAGTGCGACTGTGCAGAGCGCGCCGACTTGAAATGAAATCGTTCGGGGAAGGAACATGGCGTTCGCAAACGCAATGGAATGCGCGATGCGGCTCACGGTGAACAATATAATCGCGATGCTCGTGACGGTGCCATTCCCGCCCGCCACGATCGCCACCCACGCCATCATGATCCCAAGTGGCAGGTTTTCCAAGTCATTGCCGACAATGCGGTTCCATCGATGTTCTCTGGCTTTGGCCGCTTCGAGTTTATCTTCCGACGTCTCCGGAATGAACAATTCTTTGTTGGGAGCGGTTGTCGCAGCGAACGTCATGTCTTCCGGCGGTCGCGACCCCGACTTGTACTTCACAGTTCCTTGGACAAACAGCGCTGCGTAGAATTTGATGTATAGGACCAGTGTGCATAGCGCTGCGACCCGGACGTCGCCAGCCAACGCACCCATCGACACACGAGCGTGCAAGATCGAAACTGACTGATTCGTGGCTGGCGCGGGTCCTGTCACGTTCGTCTGCGTGGGTCCAGGTGGGTACATTCATGTACAGTGAAGAGACGTGCTGGATGGGATCCTATTTAGGTGAACGCGGCGCGCCGTCGGCGGCGACTAGCTTGCGAGGCACTCGACGTTTCCATTTTGATCCATTGGTGTCACTGTCCCCGTCGGCAGCAAACAGGTCTGGCTCGTGCATGTCGCGCCATGGATGAGGACGAGGCGACCGGCGCCCTCAGAAGGGTGTGTCCAGCACAAGCGCTGGCACCATCCGCCGTCGAGTCGGCCAATTTGGACAAGTGCGCGCGACGAGCAGAGGTCGATGGGTCGATGGGATTGTGCAAGTCGACCGGCATAAATAGTATATTCAAGCAGCGCCGCTCATGCAACAGCGACGCGATTCGATGAGGACGTCTTGGGTTGTTCCAAATAGTTGGAGCTGATGTACGTCGACCGGTCCGTCAGCTCGGACACGCCGCTGCTCGACTGATATTGTTTCAGGGACTGGAACGCAGCGTACCCGATCAAAACGACCACGATGAGCCCCAACAAGTACTTGCCGAGAATCGCTACAATGGGGTCCATGTATCAGTCGGCTTGTCGATATGGCATGACGTGGGATGGTGGGTCGATGATACCTGTGACCATGGCGTGTTTGGGCGTCTCGATCACGCACATGTAGTTGTTGGCGAGGCGAGGCGGCGGCTGCATGCACAGGAGGCTCGTCGGTATCGGCGCTTGGTTCGGCTCGATCTCGAGGACGAACTCTGGATGACTCACTAACGCGTAGCTTGGCGTGTCCAGGAGGATGGTCTCGATGGAGTTTCGCGTCAAGTCCCTGCACGCTTGCAACGAGTGAGAGGCAGCTCACGCGATATCTATCGATGCTTACAAGCGCTTCAGTGTCGTCGGTAGATATCTGCCGTCGATGCTGGTCATCCCATTGCCACTTAAAACCCTACGCGTACGCAGCAGCTTGAGCTCCCAGCACTCTACTGCACACGAGAAACGCATAATCGTACAAGGACTTGAGCTGTCGCGGCATTTGCTCGGCCATTTCGCGGGACAAGGTCCCGATGCGGTTGCCACTCAGGTCCCTACATCGATCACAGTGATCACGATACAGGATGCGTTTGAAGCACGCACAGGGTTTGGACGGTTCCTGGCAGTAGGATGGCGCTCGATGTCGCGAAGGCGTTGTGGCTGAGGTTTCTACGCCCCTCATATTAGTGGCGACACTGGACAGAGCTCCTCGCGTGCCACGTACAGGTGCAGGAGCGGGACTTCACCAGGATCACTCGATTGAACTGAAATGCTTTGAATTCTGTTGTACGACAAGTCACTAGCACACGCGTTGGCGTCCATGCGAGTTCTCATGCGAGGACAGCAGCCACGTACATGCTATCGACGCACGAAGGGAGGTCAGTGACGACCGAGATGTTTCGACGCGACAGGTTCAACGACTTGTCCATGGCGACAATACTTGTTGCCGTGTGTCCATTTGCGAGACAAACTGTCGTCGGGCAGGCAACGTCCACTGAGACCGTGTGGTTGGTGGAGTTGGGGCAGGAAGCGACAACCGTCAAGCAGCATGTGGTGGTCGTATTGGGGGTGTTTGCGCCCGGCATCATCGCACTGGCAATAGCAACGAGTGAGAGCGCGAACGCAAGATGGAAAGTGAACGACGTGCATGTTCTCGCTCGAGGAGGTCTGGTGACGATCTTCGGCTCTTTCTCGACGAGGTGTCACAGCGAAAACAGGCCGGCCGTTTCAAACGTTTCAGTCGAAATAGTCCATTTGTCACTCGTCACGGCGTTGAAACTTGATTTCTATATGGTGTGATTAATATGAACAACAGGTGGAAGTCTTCTTGTTGGCTGTGCATGTGGCCGGAAGAAACGCCGCCGCCGCCACGAAAGACGACAGGTCTTGATAGCTCTCGGGATTCGCAGTAGACCAGTCCACCCTGTCCAACGCCTCCAACTCGCCCACAGCCCGGTCATGCGTGAGCCACTTGTCGTGGCTGCGGCACGTACACAGCCCGATTGTCGGAGCCGCCGTGTTGGCGAAGAACTCCCTGTTCCTGGTTGGATACTTGTCACGCTGCCTGCGGGACGTCGGTCGCGATGGACACAACGGAATGTTTATGCGAAAGGTCTCCTGGTGTCTCCATGTGCTAGCCAACGTTCAAGGAGACGACGACGTTTGGGTTGGTCGAGGACGACGGCTGCCGCGCTTCGGAATGGGCGGCCATTTCTCAAGAGTGACTTCTTAACTTATACTTCGTATTCAATTCGATAGCGCAGACGCATTGGAAGCAGGCCGAGTGCGCTGCGCAGCTGAAGGCGCCGCCGCCACGTCGACGCTGACGGTCTGTCTATACTGAATCGGGTCATTGTCGAGAAAGTTGCAATTCGAACTCAAGTACGTGTCCCGAGACATGAGCTCGTTTTCGAGGCGAGGTCGCAAGTACCACCGCAGGACGAGCACGATGGCAAACAGAGCGACCAGAATGATCGCATACTTGGACAAGAAGCCTACCGTGACATCATGCGTAAGCACTGCGAAAGGAGAACGAATCGAAATGGACGGCTGCTCACTGAATGCCATGGCCGCAATATCGTCGTGGCCCCCGTTGTTCACACACAGATACGTGTTTGTGTTGGGGAGGAGCATGGGAATGCCAACGCACGTCGTCACGATGTCGGCGGAGGCGGGTTTGTCAAGTTTCAAGACGAAATTTGGCTTGGTCAGCAGCGCAAACGTCGCCGAGGACACATCGAAAGAGAGAATGGGGTTGCCCGTCAAGTCGCTACGTGAGGGGGTGACGCGGGCACCGGACGAAGATATGTGGTGACGTACAGTTCCATGAGGGACAGCGGAAATGTTGTCTCGCGGATCATGGTCAGTGCGTTGTTCTTCAGGACTCTACGATGCATGCGGAAAATGAAATGGCGGTATCGACTTACAGCTTGGTGATGGCCGAGTTGTCCAGCGCACTCCAATGGAGCAATTGTGTAAAGAAGTTATGGCTTAGATCCCTGCAGTGCATTGCTGTGAGTGACTTGACGAATTGATGTGCCTCTGCGTTTCATACAAGGTTGTGACTGACGGTGGTAATGCCAGCGTGCTCGTTTGAGACAAAGAGTTGAAGGCAAGGTCCCTTGAGAGATGGAATGAGTACCATCGAGCTGTTCATGGAGGAGCGTACAAACGAGTGAGCTGGCTGTTCGGGATGTAGGCAGGGACATCGTGAATCGAGTTGTTGGCGAGATTCCTGGACAGGTGAGGATGAGCTCCCCATTCAGGTCAGGGAGAACGAGTGCATACAATGAAACGACGTCATTAGGAAGGCTTCCGACCACTTGAATCCCTCGAGCAGACAAGTCCACATCGTCCATGGCTTTCGAAAACGTGATGTAGCCTCCTGTGGCAGTCTGCACGCACATGGGCTTCTCGGAAGGGTCCACAATAGTTTCAGGGCACAAACCCCACAACGCCGTGAAATTCCGCGCACGTACTTGCGCTGCTTGAAGCAGCGTCAGTGCCACGGGCCACATAACGAGCTGCATGGCGAGCGCAACCTGGCGAGATCACGTGCGCGTCTGAAGGTCTCCACTCGATGGGCCAATGAGAAAGTGGGAGTCAAGTTTATTTGATTTCTTTGGGTTGCATATTGAATTCAAGTTTCATGCGCATTTTTTATTCGCAGGCGCCTGTTGCAGAATCAGCAACCATCCTTGTGGCATGCTGTGCGCATGCTGGTGACAACTCCATTGTGAGTGGAATGGAGCGGAGGCTGCCCGCTCTGTGCGTTGGATCGGTACGCCGGAGAATTGATTGCACTGCCAACCTCTCGTAAACTCAATCGAAGTTCAAGTGACAGCTCGTCATGTGCGCGATTTTTACATTTGCGGTGCTTCCTACTTGAAAGCGGTTGTCTTCGCCACCGTGGCTTTGCCCTTGTTCTTCTTGGTCTTCTTCTTCGCCGTCGGCGAGAGGGGGGTCGCAAAGTCTTGCGACATTGGACCTAGAACTTGAACCATGCTCAATTTCAGCAGCTTTGCCACGCGACCGACGTGCGCTTGCTCGTTGGACTTGCACTGCAGCACAATCGGACGCGAGTCACCCTCGTTCACGGCACGCACGACCAGACGCGTTCTTGGCTTGAACTTGAACGAGAGCTTGAGTTGATGCGGCGCTTTGTCGCTCAGATGGCGCACCTTGTCCTCAAAGTCGTCCCAATGCGCGCTGTCCGACTGGAGCACTACCATTCTTCGACGACTCCCGCGAATGAGTCGTCCGGATAACTCGTCATCCGGACAAACTGATGAAAGAGATATTTTCAAAAGAAGCCCAAATCGAATAATCAATCGTACACAAAAATATGTTCATATCCTTGGATCGTGGAGGGCACGCCAGGAATCGAGGGGACGTCGGCTAGGAATGCAGTGCTTAGGCGAGCCGATACATCCAGTAGCAGTGTGAAGGGGTTGCAGCCAAGCGCGCCCTCCTTGCATCTGGCCGACACCAAGGTCCAGCAATCGTGTCGTTGTCTACAGTTGGTCGAATGCCATGGCGCCTTTCATGCTGATGAACATCCTTCGTTTGGCGGCGAGGTTTCCGTTTCACCAACTCATTTCTCAACGCACAGATCCATCGCCATACGTTGGTCTGCGCATAAATTATTGGAACTGCACGCGCCTATTCGAGCGTCACTCGCATTCTCTTTGGCCCATCTGCATCGGTGGACAGGTCCATGGACCCAACGCGCTCTCGTTTCGGATTCATCGCGCGGTTGATGAGGTCCAAATCCTACGGACACGATGAAGACCATCTCTCGGTTAAAACAAAGACACGTACGACGGAGGAGCTTTCGCCAAACGCATACATGGCGTGGGTGCGAGGGGTCATGGGGATGCGGGGCTGGCGCGTCGGTCGCCGAGGGGATACGTACAAGTTGGTTGTTCCCACGCGCTTTGGGGATGCGCGTTGGGATGGCCTGGGAAGGGTTTGAATGTCTGGGAGAAGGGGAGATTCGCCGAGGGTAGAAGAGCCGGTCAAGGCCACCTTGGGCTTGGACGCCTGTCGAAGGCGCTCCACAGCGAGCGTTGCAGCCTCAGCGATGACTTCGTTGTCCGAAATAATGGGTTGATTCGAACTCGTGGACGACGAGCTCGTGAGGAACGGTGTGACGGCGTCGTCGGCGGCCGCCGTTTGCTCGTCGTGTAGCTGGAACTGGAGCAAAAACGCCTTCAACGTCGGGATGAAGCATCGGTTGTAAAACTTGATCACGTCGCCCTTGGAAGCGGGTGTCTCGAGCGGGATCTCACGCACGATGCTTGACTTGCTCACGGTCGGGAACAGCCGCTTGTATCCGTCCAAGATGCGCTTGAATGTGACCTCAGGTTCAACGTGGTTAACTTTGCACACGCCGTAGAACGCGCACAAGATGATGTGGTCGATGTGGCGGTCGCGCAGCAGTCGCGAGTGGTGCACAGAGATGCTCTCTTTGACGGTCGTCCACACTTGGTTTAGGTACGGCGCGTCAAGCTGCAGGTGCTGGCCCAGCACGAAGATGCGGTTCGCCGCGAGCGCCAGCACTTTGCGGAAAAAGAGTTGCAGAATCGCAGCCGTCTTGAGTTGCGGGTTTGCCAGCAATGGATGGAGCCCGGACGATGACGCCCACACAAGCGAGTCCAACACGGTCTGTTCCAAGTCGCGCATGTGCCGCTTGAGCTCGGACGGGAGCTGCGGCGCGTGCTTGACAAAGCTCTCGATGATCTTGCCAAAATCAAACGCGTCCACGTCACACGTGGTCAGTAGATGAGGGAACGCCATCGATACCAAGCTGTGTGCTTTGAGCACGACTTCCATGCTGCACGCAAACAACGAGCGCGTGAAGCTCGGGTTGCTCAGCAACGGCGAAAAGTCCACAGCCTGGATTCGCTTCGCTTCGGCGTCCAGGAGCGCCTCGAGCACTTTGTAAAATAAACCCAATCCCATGCGCTTCGTCTTGGCCAAACTCCCTTCAACGTTGCTGCTCGATGCTCCGCCACCGATCTGCAGCAGTCGTTGCTGATGCAACGCCATCGACGAAGGAGGTCGCAACGACAACTTGTCTAGCAACCCTTGCGTCAACTGCGCAATGGTCGCCGCGACGTCTGGAATGGACGTGCAATTCTCGAAATATTGGCGCAATTTCTCCGACGGATGCGGGAGAAGCGGTGTTAGCACGGATCGAACCCAGCTATTGGTCTCGACGGCGGCTGTCACGGGCGTTTGCGCCACCACCGAGCTGCGAGGACTGGCGCGAGTCGGCGTCATCGCGCGAGGCTGCGGCTTGGATTGGCCTTGCCACTGCCATGCTTGGTCAATAGACGAGCTCCCGACAGACGAAGTGGGGGCGTAGAACGCCGGTATTGTTGGTGGCAGCGGCGGGGACTCGTCTGGAGGGCCAAGCAGGGACAACTTGAGCGATGGCGTAAGAAAATGCGACTCGTCGAGGTCGTAGAGGTGGACGACGTAGGTCTCACGGTAGTGCGTGGCCAGGTTATGCACATTATCCGCCAACACAGTTGGGTGAAAAAAGTCGCCTTTGGGAGACCTGGAGAGGACGCCTTCATCCTCAAGGGAAAAGAGTTCGTGGTCTAGCTTTGCGATAATGCGCTCGACTTCGCTGCGATTGACGGGAGGTGTCGCGCAGAGCTTTTCTAGGAGCTGTGACGACGACGTGTTCGTGCTGTGGTTGCCAAGGGAGCTCAACGCTGCAGCAACTTCTGCTTCGACAGACTTTTGGCTTCCGGAGGAATGCAGCTGAGACAACACCAGGTTAAGTACAGGAACGAGCAGGTAGTAGAGGTCTTCGAGGTGGTCTACTTGCAACTGCAGGCGGTTGCGCACAATCGCGAATATCAACCATCCTGCTTCGTACAAATTTTGGCGACGACGTCCAGCTGCCTCATCGGGAGATGTAGACTTTGTGTGACGATCCCACAATTGATCGTACTTGCAGTGAATAATGGCGGCGGCGGCAAGACGCTCCTTGAGGATGTTGGCGCGGTGGAGGAGATCAGGGCTCAAGTCCAGGATGAGCATGTTGAACAGCTCCGTGAAGCTCGACAGGAAAGGACTCAAGTACACATGGCATGCTTCCATCAGTTCGTGCAACGTGACAGGGGTCGGATGCTGAACGTCACTCGTTGGATCGCGGTCCCTTTCCAACTCGTTCGAACTCAATATCGTAAACAAAGCCGCCATGACGAAAACATTGTCTTGGCTCGACGAGGCCCCAGCTTGGGTTGGCTTGTCAGTGAGAGTGCTGGTGGTCGCAACGATATGCAAGTGTTCGTGGTTCGAACGCGACGACTTGATCATGTCTAGCAGCTTCTGCGAGCGCGACACATTCGTCGCATCAAGGCGCGTCAAGATCGACGCAATGCCGGGAAAGTCTTCCAGGCGCATCTTGCGTCCTCCCTGGCAACGAGAATGGAGGGAAACCGGATTTTCTGCCCTCTGATTGGCTTGCAGAAATCCGGATATCCAGCAGGAATACCGGAAGGCGGTGATTGAGCTTCCATAAATCAGTGCTTTTCATTGGACAAACAACAAAATTAACAACCAATCAATGTATTCTCAACATGTATAGCCGACTAACGAGGCATCAACTCAGTCACACGAAAGAACCACGTGTTATAATACTATGTACACCCAACACATAGCAGCAACCACCTGAAAACGAAGCGGGTGCCTGATGGCGGTCTTCGGGATCGAGAGATATAGCCCATGTGGGCAACGGGGTGTATTTTGACAGAAATGCGCAGTCAGGTTGCCGGAAAATACCCTCTGAAGTGCGATATAGACCTCATCAAGTACGTTTCGACCACCGTACTTTACCAGCATTCTCGAATTTCACAAAATTGAGCAGTTGGGAAGTGCGCGGGCGGCACAGACCGATGATGGAGGATTTTGAGTACTTGCAGCAGCGCCTTCGCCTGCACGTGGAACTCATGGAGCGCCACTTGACGGGTGTGTCGGAACTAATCCTGGCGCCAAAGCAGGACAACATCAAGCAAATACGAGTGCACTGCCGACAATGTGTAGTATCACGTGTGACAGTGAATGGCGTGGAAGCGCGCTTCGAGCATCACGACTTTCTTGGTGAGATCGTGCAGGAAAGCTATCGAGACTGGAGCTCGTTCGACTTGTTCTACCGTGGGGCGATTGTTGCGTCCAAGGAAGGAACGCTCGTCATCGAAATGCCGCCATCCGTCCGCATTGTCGACAAGAAGGAATGCAAGGACGACGACTCGAAAAAGGTCGATGGTGAGAACCCCACCGACGACGAGCATGATGCCAATGCCGTGTGGGACTCGTCCGATGTTCTCCCACTTAGTTCCACCAAGTTCGCACCTGTCCGCGTCCGCATCCAGTACACAGTGACGAATCCACGTGGAGGAGTTCGGTTCATGCTTCCCGACGAATTGCATCCAAACCGCGTGCCGCATATGTACACGTACTGCGGCCCATTTGGTGGTCTTTGCGACGGCGCGCGTACTTGGATGCCATGCCGGGATATGCTTGGAGACAAGTGTACGTTTCGCATCGAGTTGATCGTACCGGCATCGTGCGTTGCAGTCTGCAGCGGGCGGTTGGTCGGCCAAACCTTGGATGCACAGAAGCTACACCGAACATTTCGCTTCGTCGTGGACACCAAGACGAGCTGCAGTCTCCTTGGGTTTGCCGTACGACCCTGAATTCCTTCGTGCTGAATTCTCACAACTTGTCGCTTAGGTCGGGCCGTTCCGCATGCATGTCTCCGAGTCCATGCCTCGTGTGGCGCACTTTTGCCTGCCGGACAGACTCACGGAGCTCATGACGGCCACAAAGTTCAAAGACCCGCACTTTGTCACGTATTTCGAGACGTATTTCAACGCGCGGTACCCGTTTGCGACGTATTCACAGATCTTTGTGGACGACCCGCCGACCGACTGCCAGTACTTCGCCGGGCTGTCCGTGCTCAACCAAGACGTGCTGTACGGACCCACGATCATCGATCACGCATTTGTTTCGCAAGCGATTCAAATCAAGGGTTTCATCGGGAGCTGGATTGCTGGTACAGACCATCTGATCTCTTTTGTTTTTCATCGTGATTTGGTGCGTAGGGGCGATCGGAATTCAATCGACTAAGCACGCGTGGGTATTGGTTGGCATTGTCGGGTACTTGTTCGACTTGTACGTGCTCTCTGCGTACGGGAGCGAGGCGTATGGGTACCGCATTCAGCTCGCGATCGACGCGCTTGTGACAATGGAACTGGTGGCTGAGAACGGTCCACCGAGTTTAATGTACGACGACGTCGACGTGTACGGCGAGTACGATCCGTCGTACATGCCGTTCCTCGAAGCGAAAGCGCCGCTCATTCTGCGCATGATCGAGCGCAAGGTCGAGCAGGAAGTCGGCCCCAGGCACTTGCAGCTCGCTCTGCAGCGCATTGTGAGCGGCCAGGTCGGCGGTGTCAGCGGAAGCGGTGGGTCCAAACAGCAATCGTCAACCAACAACGGGGACGACAAAGACGACGACAAGGACGACGAAGACGAAGGAATGATGGATGGAGACAAAGACTCAAACGGCGCGCTTGCGAGTGGCCAACTGCAGCCGCTGAGCACGTGGTACTTGCTGCGAACAGTCAAGGTTGTGGCAGGTGCGTCCAACCCGCGACAAATATGCGTGAACCAAGATGGCTAGGCGCACCCGGGAGCGACTTGTGCAAAGCGTTTTTGCAAACGTGGATCGTGCGGGGTGGCCTGCCTCTGATTTCGGTGGGATTTTGGTACAATCGCAAGCAAACGCAGGCCGAATTAGTGTTGGAACAATCGGTGCGTGATCCCTACGGCCACGCCTGTTGTCTGGAATTTCGTGGATGTCGAAGCTGTTGCTCGACTTTGTGTTGGTTGTGATGGTGGAGTTCTCATGCAGTGCGTCGCAGTTGCTACCGGGATGCGAGAAATTCGAGGGAATTATGAAGATCACGATTGTCGAAGACTCGGGGGAGCATTCGGACCTTCGACGGATTGAAAACCTCCGGCACAAGTGGGAATTCCCGTGCCACGCAAAAGTCCGCAAGAAGCGCCGAACGCGCCAAAAGCTGGACCAAGCTGACGATGACTATTCCCAGCAAATCACAGGTACATGTCCTTTTTCTAGTGGGTTGAAGCTACAACTTTGGCAGGACCGGGCATGGGGCTAAACGACACCCCTGTCTTTTGGGTGAAGATCGACCCCGATGCTGGCTGGCTGAGCCACATTGTCATGTACCAACCTGACTTCAACTGGATGGAACAATTGCTGAGCGACTCCAAATGTGTCCGGTCCCGCGTGCATGCGGCTCGCGCACTGGCCTTGTACCCCTTGCCGCACGAGAAGCCCCATGTCATGGCGTGCCGAGTCTTGACGGAGGCCATGTCGGGGCTGACGACTCACTGCAACCGCATTCGCGCAGAAGCAGCGATCTCCCTTGGTTCGTCCTCGCTGCATATCTTTCTTGCGCTGATGACTACGGACAAGGCATTTGGCAATCGCTGCATGCACCCCACACCAACGCCAACATGGCCTTGCCCGAGTGGAAAGGAATGCAAAATCTCGTGCGCATTTTCAAAGAGCACTTTTTCGATCGGACAGCCGACATGCCATTGCCCAACTACTTTTTGCCATCGGGCGGAAAGGTCGTCCTGGAGGTGCGAGTGCTCTCGTCGATATTCGTCACTGACGAACGGTCGCAGAGCGTTGGGGCCGACACGAGCAACTCGACTACTTCGCGCGATATCCGCATCCAAGATTATGCTGAAGGCGAGTACGAGATCAAGAAGGCCATTCCTCGTGGGCTGGCCATGGTTCGTTGTCGCACGGGGTTTTCGCCGCCCGAGATCGAGACTTTTCTCCTCCAATTGCTCATGCAAAACGACAACTCGAAGAACTACGTCGACATGGCCGATGAATCCTGTGTTGCAGACGACTGTTTCTACCTCGGCAGCCTCATCCTGAGTTTGTCCGTCCTCAACTTGGAGCTGCGATCGCCGACGTCGACCACGGCGGTCGAGATCACGCGGCTGCTGCACTACGACAACGTCAAACCGAGCTACCGCCACACAATCACAGTGTGTTGCCTTGAAGTACTGACTCGATCTCCAGTGCACCGACTGTGACTGAATGCGCGACGGCGGTGTGTGTAGGCGCTGTGCAACTTGCAGTTGGCGGGCCGCATGACGGACATGGAAGCGATCGCGTACCATAAATACGCCTCTCCTGCGTATCCGTCCGTCGTTCGGCAAGCCGCGATTGAGAGCATCCTGCGGCTCTACTTTGCCGAAGATCCGCGCGGCGACCCGTCTGCTCAACGCCGCGACAAGTCGCGGGTGTTTGGTCCCGTGGCCGCCGTGTCGTATGCACTCAAGTTGATTCAACTGGACGAAAGCCCTCGGTACGTTCTGTGCTTCTTCGTTGTGTCGAAGCGACGACGCTGGAGTTCGTCGTAGCATTCGTCGGTTTGCCGTGCAAGTGTGCTTGAATTGCATTCGAGGGTTCCCTCCCAGCGTCGCGGCCCAAGTGCTCTCGACGCGGGATCACGCGTACACGTTGAGCATCATGCACCGAATTCAAATGGAAGTGCCTGGTGCATTCATCCAGAAATCCCCGTCCAAGGACTTGATCGCCAAGGCGTTCACCCCTCCGTCCCTCGCCCCCCTTCGCGACGACAGCAGCGCTGCACGAGACGTGGCCGAGGCCATGTGGTCCCTCATCAACACGACTGCGGATTACGACCAACCTCTCCGAGTGTCGCTCTCGATATTGTACAGAAAGATTTGGGGCGACACAACGCCCATCTGTGTGGCCCACACCGTTCAGGTCTGTCCTGCCGCATGAATTCATGGTCATGACATTTGGCAAAGGAGAAATCGGCGGACTGGGCTGGTGGATTCGAAGCGTTCCGACGACTCATCGACGTGAGCAAGAACCACGGGGCGAAACCTACCAAGTCATCGTCGGGTTACCAGCCCAAGTCGACGGACGACTCGTCCAAAAAGAGGCCTTTCATGGGCTCTCCTCCGGTGAGAATGTTTTGCTTTGATGAAGCTTTCTTCTCATCGTGAATGTTGCAGCTCTCGAGTGGGTTGGACCATCTCAAGGGCAAAAAACTCAAGCTCAAATTTGGAGACAACACGATTGCGTCGCACAAGCTGTAGCCGTGATCACATCGTTCCTCCATCTCGATAGTCCAGGCAATGACCGAACAACACGCATCACCACAGTAACAAAACCTTGAGATCATCAGTGCAGCGCGCACGCCATCGCATACACAAGACACACATGACCGAAACAATGCACCTTGGCTGTCTCCCGTGTAACATAGTGACGCAGCAGACTCGCCGAGGCCGACATGTCGGCGGGAATGCCGGCTCGGGTGGCTTCGGCTACGGCGGGTACGGTCGTGACTATGGTGGCTACGACGGGTACGGCCGAGGGGGTCGTGGCGGGGGGTTCGGCGGATACTAGCTCGACGACGCCCCGACAACGTAGCAGCCCTCCACTAGACAAAACACAATACACATGTACTATCTTTGTTCCAACTTGACGACTCGAGAGGCCGACACACACCGTTCGAACTCGTGTTGGGAGGCCGCGCAAGGTAGTTCTCGGCCGCCGGACAGCCGTTGTCCGACGGCAAGCCTTGTGTGGCGCGATGCACTTGAACGAGGCGCGTCGTGTACGAGCTTCGAGGGCACCCGCAGACGACGCACACGACCTGTCGTGCAACCTGCGGACAGACTGGTGAGAGCGCCGTCGCGCGACTGGTCTCTGGCGTCCGAGACCCATCAATCTCAGCGGGCCGCGCGCAGCTCGAACGCCATTGTTGCAATTGTC